AAGGTCAAAATTTCTGAATTATCGTTTGAATCTAAAAAGTAATCCGGTTACTTTTAACTATAGTTTTAAGAACAAGAAGACAATCTCTTTTGCTCAGTCAGTCATTCAGCTAGTTTTGAGGACTGCGAAACAGTCTTCAAATTTTATAATTTCAAGTTCTCATCCTCTTTGGTTATTCTGAACAAATTCTGCTAAGCATTTCTTTGCACCTGGCTTCCCTGATTCAATGGCTGCAACTTCATACATGTCAGTTTCATGTCTGTGTTTGTGTTCCTTCTTAAAATATGTAAGGCTGCCTCTTAAGTGGCAGGAAATGCTTATTAGGATTTTCTCCTAATGAACTATTCCCCTTCTGTCTCTTAGGATTTCCTGTAGACCAAAGTGCCTTTGCATATTTCTAATATTGGAGGGGCCTTTTCTCCTCTGTTTTTTAGTAGGAGATCAGGATAGCCACAATTCTAGAGTTTACTTAAAGGATTCTGATGAGGTTTTTATCCCAGGAGAATTTATTACATCAGGAAACTAGAAAGAGACCATAAGAAAAGCTATAGGTGAAGGTTACTTGCATGTCTATGTCTTCCCATGGCTTTCTGGGTCCATAGATACCATGACACTGCAGCATCATGATGTAGGTGACAATTTTTTCTCTTACTACAGTACAGAGTTAGTGTTAGAGGAAAAAATGGTTTGCCAAACTTTTCCAAACTGGATTTAGGGTTAATCAAAGTTAGGCTTAAATTATAAAACAATTTTAGCATTTTGCATATATATATATATATACACACACAAATACCTGAGATTTTTAACACAAAATAAAACTCACATATGTGTATGTATTCAGTTGTAACTATTTTTATCCCATATAATTGCAAATACTCATTTCACTAAAATTTACATCCAGTTATTTCCTTTTTCATGATCTTATAAAAAGTATTTAACAGGATTAATCAACAAGCAGAAAAAGTCTACAGTTTAGCAATGATAACCTTGATACAAGATTTGAAATTAGTCCTAGCAGCACAGCCCATCACTGAGATAATATTCACTTCTATTTCCTACACTGGGTGACAATTATGTAAAGGGCATTCAGGTTTCTTCACAATTATATGACACATTCACTGATTTAGGATAGAATGGACTAAAGAACTAAAAGGTATTTTGGAAAACATATTTGTGCTTTACAGATTGAAAATTTGAAAAACTAAGAAATGGCCCCAAAGTCATGTACAGACAGGAATCGAACACGTATGTCGTGACTCCTACCCAGATGCTCATCCCTCTCCCATATCCCATTACCCATGACAAATTTCACTGATTTTTCAAACACAATGAAAATAAGCCAAATTCTATTGATCACATAAAAGCGGGTACAACAAAACCTCCTCCAAATACTCATTTATTTACCTGAAGTTCAACACAATTAGAGAACTCTTCCATAGCCAGCCCGATGCCTTTACTAATTCTGCATCGATTACACTCGAAAAGGCCCTCTCATTTTCATATTGGAAACACAGTCTACCAGATTCTTATTTATTAGTCAGTTCAGGAACAGGTAGCACATGTGCAAGTAGTAACTGTAGGCAGGACACTGTGGGAGGCAGAGGCACATGGCTACACGACTGTGTCCGTGCATTCTTTTTCAACTAAACTTTGCCACACATGTTATACAATGCACAACATTAACATTATCCAAATGCAAACCTATTTTCACTTGCAAGTTTTAAATTCTTAAGGTAAATGTTTAAGTGAGTATTTTATACCATTTAACTTAATACCATTGAAACTAGTTATTACTTATAACCATTAAATGAAAACGTAAGTTCTGACATTTTAAGGTGAAAAAGCAACTGGTCCTAGGGGGAAAATGTGAGGCATTCAGTTGAAAATCATGGATCTCATCTCTCTTCCAACTCACTTCTATTCCTCACATTTATGTCCCCCTTAAAGCAACATAGAATTATATGACAGAGGCTTAGATAAACAAAAAGCTAGAAAGCTGTTTTTCCACGAGTAGGTAATTAAGCATTCTAATAAGCATGATAATATAATGAAGCACTGTGGTATGAATGACTGAAGACACCACAGGTTCCCTTTTGCTTTAGACTGCACACAACGGATCAGAATCCACTTGGTGAGCACACATTAACTATTCTATATTATGACAATATTCTTCCAAAGTCAGCAAAACTAATAAAATAAAAAACACAAATTCTCTAATCCTCAAACTAGTGGTTAGCAGCTCCGGTGAGCATTTACTGTAACTATATGCAAACTCCTAATGAGTTTTTTTGGAAATCAATCACATTTCAGTGTGAATAATAGGATTTAAATTTCCTTAAGAACATTTTGCATTTAGGTCACAGTGTAAGTACTTTCCAATTGGCTTGTGCTATCAGCCCCCACTATAATATTAGCATACTTGCCCCATTCCAAGAGATATTTTTAGGAACATGGTTCAGCAATCCCAATGTAGAGAAACTAGAAGGTGATATTTCATTTTAAGTTTTTTCATAGGAAAGGAAACTGAGAAGTTTGCCACCTGAAAAATGACCCTTAAAGAAACCAAAAAGGGTCTAAGCAGCGTTTAACAAAGGCGTCACTTACTGTAATTGTTCTTCATCTCTTGGGTCCCTTTCACTTTGCCTCGTTTGTCAATCCTCAGATACCACTGTGTTCGACAGAAAAGTCTTCTCACTCTTATATCCCCTCCTTCCATGTAATCATAGCTTCTTGTGTGCCTCTCGGGGCTGGAGCAGTTCACATTTGTAGCCATTTGCTCTGGACTCATGTCATTGCAAGCTAAAGACATAGTGCCCACTAGACAGATGATGTGGAAGTATGATCTGTAGAGCAGAGTTGGCAGGATCCATGTCAGTATCCATTTGTGCATTATAGTGTAGTGCTCCGGGTGTTCATGAATAACATAATGAAAATTAAATCTTGAGTTGACTGTTAGTCCTAGGTCATGGACCTCCTCCTATCTATGAACTGTAGATTGATTTGAGAAAGACTGGTTACTCTTTCCAAACTGCTAACCTTATCTTTTAGTTTCTGATACCAATACTGATTCCTCCTTCAGTAACTCTTGATATATCCTTATAAAAATAGATTGTAGTGAGGCCAGTTGCTGCAGCACCGTTTGTTACTTGACTTCTGTTTGCAATGAGAGATTAAGAATGGGGAGAGGAGGGGAGGAGAGACGAAGATAAAAATTGCATGTATAAATTTCAGTAGGTAAATATATAACACACAATACAGTTCCCATGTTGAACGTACATTTAAAACAGCTTCCACAGAGGACGTTAACATCTTTGCCCTCCTGCACGTAGATTCAGTAGAGTTATGCATTCTACAGATAAATCAGACTATAACTGCACTATTCATTCCAATTGCTATTTTGTAAGAAATATCCTGTGCTCAGAGCTATTGACTTAAATCAGATTTTACAGCCACTATTGACAAAGCAGAAATGCTCTGTCTGGGTTTCGTTAGTATATGTTTTTACTTTTGTGGTTAATCAATTATTTTCTCCTCAACTGCCCAGATTTTTCGAGTTAAATGTCAGGATTGCTCTGGATAACGCCAAGCTTATCTTTACATTCGTTCTACAGCAGGATTTCTAGATATTTACATGGCTCAAAAATCTTTTCCCCTCAGTACACTAAACCTTAGAAAAAGAAAAACTTTTAGAAAAGATTCAGCATTATTTTAAAAGACAAATAACAATAACTTACTTGTTCTGTTTATACCAGCTGGATACACAAGCATTCCATGTCTGCTGTCTGCCTTGTGCAACTTGAGCCTCTCTACTGTAGCTACAAACTATTTCTCAGCTGAGAAATTCTCCAGCAGAATCATAATTGTTTCCATAAATCAACAGGCAAAATGGTTTTCTCTGTGTGTGAGCGCGTGTGTGCTTGTGTGTGTGCGTGGAGCCTTTTATTCAGAGCTTTTCAATAAATACCTTTGCTGACCTCATTGGAAGCAATTAAAACTTAACCAGTGAGCTGTTAGTTGAATAAAACAGCAAGGATGAAAAGCGGCTTGTGTAATGTTGAGTGGTCATGAGGGGGAGCTGTGAACATGGTTTATGTTTAAATCTACTAGTGGGTATCTACTCTACAGAGACAGACCTCTGATTCTGCAGCAGTTAGAGGGGAAGGAGGGCTGTCAGACCTTCCTTAAAGATTAGCAGTGATACAGGCTGTGTAAAGTGTTTCTTTGAACATATGCATAAGGGTTCTTCAATGGTTAGAGAAACCTTTTTCCGTGGCTTTTCGATACATGTATTTCTTCGATTACTCCTTTGTGTCAGAGTACCAGAACAACTTACAGCACTGTATTACTGAGTTAACAGCATATCTTCTTGCACAGATAATTCACCACTGCTGTATGAGTATGATTTTCATGTCTTTGGGCTGAAAGTGAGAAAGGACCTAGTTTCTTACTGAATTAGGCTTCTAATAACCCATACAATCTTGGGCAAATCACCCACATTCCTGTGTCTTAGCTGCTGCTCCCTGTGGGAGGTCCATGCCCCCGCCATAAATGCTGCCTGTGTGAGATCCATCCCTGGGTCCTGACCTGTGTGAGAGCCATGCCTGGGTCCTGACCTGTGTGAGATCCATGCCTGGGCCCTGAGCTGCTGCCTCATCTTAATACCCTGTGACTTGCACAAATGGCTCAAGTGATTTAAAATTATTATTCTGTTGTTTTTTTTTTCTGGTCTTTTTGGGACAAGATTTCCCTGCAGCCCCAGCTAGCTGCCCTGGAACTCACTATGTAGACCAGGCTGGCCTTGAACTCACAGAGATCCACCTGCCTCTGCCTCCCGAGTGCTGAGATTAAAGGCATGTGCCACCATGCCCGGCATTATTATTCTTAAAAAATAAGAAAAATGATTTCAGCTTGGTTATCGGTGTCTGACTTGTGCCTCAATAAGAACATTAGCACGATAAATAGCCATTAATTCAGGAACAGACTTATAAGGCCTATAGCTAATGCAAGTAAGAGAAGGCTGTTTTACCTTACAAAAGCGCTCTTGTCTTCCTATGTTTGCATCCATGTGTGACAGTGTTCAAGGCTGTATTCTGTATTTAGGGTAAAATAATTTTATCATCAATCTAAATGATTAAGAATAGATATTACAAGTTTCTTCTCCATGCTTCCTATGGTATTTATCCCCAAACACAAACACACACATACATATACATATACATGTGCACACACATGCTCACACATAAAACATATACGCATGAATACACACACACACACACACACACACACACACACACACACACACATACACACAAAGTGCTGCACTTAGCATACACTACCACCAGGTGGTGCATGGAGACCAACTAGAAAAAGGGAATTAAAAGCAATCAATTGGGTGAGAGTCCTGTCTCCCTTTCTGACTGTGCTTGTAGGGGCAGAATCAGTAACGCACACCCAGGGGGCTTTTCTCCATGGAATATTGCACTAAGTTCTGTTTGGTCGGTTTTTTGTTTTTGTTTTTGTTTTTCTTTTTTTTGAAACAGGGTCTTTCTGAGCTGGAACTTGCTGTGTAGACCAGGCTGGCCTTGATCTCACAGGGGTTGGCCTATCTCTGTCTGCCTCCCAAGTGCTGGAATTAAAGGTGTGTGCCACCGTGCCCAGTTGCCCTAAGGTTTTAAAGCTCTTCTGTCACTACCTCTTTTGAAAGCAAGATGGCTGAGAACATCCCATCATTTCTCTCAAAAGCAGGACGAGGGAAGGAAAGAAAATATGATGCTCTTGTATTCTGAGTTATACCCCACAGTTGCGGGGGGCACTAGTAATGAGCACACGCAGAATTCCTAGGACTTGGACATTCCTTTTAAAAGAATTAAAGTACAGACAGTTGCTTCTCAGTGTGAAGAAGAATGCTCCAGGTATCCCTAAAACCTGCTGCGTAAGAACAGCAGTAACTTTGGGAATAAAATACAAAATAATGATCTGACTGATTTTAATGAGCAGATTCATCTCAGACAGGGATAGCAGTAGTTTAAATTCTTTTTTGAAGTTATTGGTTTCCTTATTAGAGAATGGTTAATAAGGATGGGCCCAAGTTCCACTGCTGGGCCAGGAGCCTCACTCACTCATGGCTCTGCTCACTTTAGGAACAGTTCTCCCAGGACAGCTCTTCAGCTGAGTGCAGGAGGGGTCCCTTTCTTCATCTCTGTAAGTCACACGGGTCAATCATCTTCAGCTCCTACTGTGACTATACACAGCGACCCACACTGCGCACAAGTGCTTTGAAGAGCCGCCCCCACTGTTTCGAGACGGAGTTGGCTTTGCTGTTAGTTGGAAACATCTCCACCTTATGAATTTTAAATTTGTAAGACAAAAGATCAATTCAAAATACGACTTTTAAAATGTCTTTCAAGGTAAAGGTTAACACCTGCAATGCTTCCGAAAGAGGCGGTGTCTGACGCTCGCCCCGTATAGTTTGGGGATAAAATACGTGAAAAATCAGAAAATTTCTTTCGGTAAACATCTTGAAAACAGTCAATTGCTCAGAAATTAGCTACCTGACTTCTCCTAAGCGGTCTATATTACATTCTTCATTTCAGGAAGAGATCAATGACCGGCAGTGCGTTTGCTTAAGGAATTTTATGCCTCCATAATTCATTTTCAAGCTTGTCTTCACTCAAAATTATAGACAGTAGAATCAGCAAGGGGGAACAGAGATGAACACTTTGATTTCTTGGTGTAGTTGCATTCTGTATTTTGTCCCTACTTCCAGGATTCCCCTTTCTAAAAAATTCATGTTAGCATTATCATTAGCACCTTGTAGGTCTTTCCAGTTCCTCACGCTTACACACACAGACTGAGCACGTGTGTATGTGATTTTTACTTTACATCACTCCCCCTCATATAAAAAAGCAGCATAGCTTACACATTGTTCTACATGTTACTTCTTTTTCACATAGTGTTGATAGGAAATTATCGATTCCCAGTGTTTAGAAAGCTTCCTGGCTTTTTTATCACTACATACTCTTCCATTGTATGAGAACACTTCAGACTGTTTCACTTTCCTCAGTTTGCAAACATTCAAAATTTTAAAATATCTGTATTAATTCTTTAAAACTTTATGCAGTGTATTTGGGTCATACCCCCAACCCCTTCCCCTAGCTCCTTCAGGATTTACCCCCACCTTCTTAACCTCCACCCAACTTTGTGTCCTCTTTTCTTGAAAAATATTCCATTGACTCCAATTTATGCTGTCCCTACGCTCCTGGCTGTGGGGCCGTCCACTGGAGTGTGGTCACATACCAGAAGCCACATACTTGCAGAAAACTGATTCTCCCTCTTCCAGCAGCTAATAACTGCCCATAGCAACTGAGCTAGGGGTGGGGGAATCATGAACACTTTCCCTCTCCATGATAGAATATTGACCCACTTAATCTTGTGCAGGTCTTGTGCAGGCAACCACAGCTGCTGTGAGTTCATGAGTGAAGTGATCTTGCCATCACCGTTTCACTCCCATCCTCCATGACCTCTGGCTCTTATAATCTTTCTGCTACCTCTGCCCCCACACACTTCTGTAATGGCTCCTGAGCCTTGGTGAGGGGCTGTGATATAGATGTCCCATTTGTGGCTGAACATTCTGCTGACACTTTCTGCACTTTGATCACTTGTGAGTTTCTGCATTAACTATTATTCACAACACAAGAAAACTCCTATGAGGTCTGGGAGCTTCACTAATCTATAGGTATAGAGCTGTGAATTTAGAGGGAAGTTTGATACCATGTTCATTTAGCAAGATAATAGTGGTAGGTTCACCCCTAGGGCCTGTGAACTCCCCAACCATGGGCTAGATTTGCAGTACCAGGCTGGGTAAGACTTAATGATGTTTTCCCCCAGTAGCAATTCCAGGACTAAAAGAGCTAGCCAGAAGCTTCCTGGTTAGTGCTAATTGATTCTCTGACCAATACGTGTAGTGTCTTTAGCAACAGAGTCTTACCATCGCATACTAGTGGTCAACCAGCAGCAATAGCAGTAACCTGTATTGTTTCAGGACACTTGTGGGAAGCTCAAGGGGAGGTATCCCACACCTAGCACTGGGCTTTTTATTTGGCAACCTATGACTTCCGGGATGAACATAATGCCTTGTGTAGGGTAACTCCAATTCAACTCATAAACATATGTATGTATGAAAATTATTATTTCATAATAGTAGGTTTCCATATGGCTTCTAAAAATGTTCTTAGTGTTTGTTATTCTTCCCACAGCCCCCTCCTCTGCCCTGCCCCCCCATTCTCTCCCTACTTAAACTTTGCGCCCCTTTGTTCCCCTTTTCCCCTCATACCACCTTATGTTCAACTATCCCTCTTCACCTAAGATCTTTTTTACCTATATTTTATTGTAGAAAATGTAACAATGAATGAACTCATAAATATGTTATTTTATAGTGTACAGTATAGCATAGAATATAAGATCAGTTTACAGAACTGACTCTCTAGGTTTCTGTAAGACAAAGTGGAATTCTTGAAATTGGGGCTAGGTTGATCTATATTTAAAAATATAAATATGTATGCTATGCCTTCCATCTGACACCGTGATCCAAACTTTATATCCCCTACATTCCTGAAGCTGGCCCCACATTAGAAATTGCCTTCATCATTTCCTCTGTGGTTCCATTGCATAAATTCAGCCTCAACTCTGGATCATACCATGCAACCAGTCTCACTTATCATCTTGATTCATCCACTGAACAAATATTTATCGAATAGTTATTTGCTGCCAGATGCTGGGTTAGCCTTTTGAGGACACAATGGTGACTCTCTTGGAAGTAATCTCTGCCCTTCCAGAGTATGCATTCCAGCAAGGGGACAACATAAACAAACAGATCTAGGATGGTACAGGCAGCAGAGCAGCAAAGGTCGTGTTCCAAGAACCAGAAGGAGACCAGTGTGAGTG